GGGCTGCCCCATGGATCTAAGTCTTAGTGCATTGAAGCTGTGATGGGAGCTGGGAACAGGAGCTTAGGGGGGCAGGGCATGATGCAATCGGCGGCATGTTGAGAAAAAGAAACAAGTACTCCAAAAAACCAGCTTTCATTAGTTTGCAGCCTGCCATCGCAGAAGGACTCTGTTGAGGACATGGGGCTGCAAGGGGTGAGAGATGCAAACACACCCTGCCCACATGCTCGGACACAAACACACACACACACACAAATGTAAACTATAGCAAGGCTAGGGCAATGATTAAATATTTTCTTCTGAAATTTAGCAAAAGAATCAATATATTTTTGGTGTTTTATTGGCAAATATGAAGATTCCAAACTAGGACTTTAGCAAAGACATGTTTCCAAGTGGATTCCTACTGATCCTAATATATAAGGATTGAATCACCATGAATCTATGATAGAACCCTGATTTAATCTTGGTGTGTGTGAGCCAGTTTTTGACCTGGGTTAATTCCATGGTGCCATGAACTGCCAAAGTGCATTAGACATCCAACCAGCTCCTCAACTTCAGTGAAAGAGTCTTCATCTCCAATCTCTGCATTCTTTGATAGACAAAATGACTTTCTGGATGGCAATAGCTCCTCACCCCCAACTTGTAATGATACCAAATGATGCCCAAGTGGGCATATTTCTAAGAAAGGAACTTTCCTCTCAGGTCACATCCAGGTCTAGTTTATACATGCCAGGAGGTCCTTCATCCATTTCGATCATGGTGTTCTGTCCCAGCCTACGTGAGTCCTTGTTAGGCTCACAAGAAACCCCTCTTCCAACAAGCAGGCTGGAACTGCAGGAAAAAAAAAAACCCCTTTTATTATTCATAGACCTGAGTCAATGTCCAAGGCAAACAAACAGTTCACAGAAACTCAATCCTCGACATGAACGGTTGCCTTTGGCAACCAGCACCTCCCACACGTTCCCTTTTATTATTCAGCTAAGGCCTGGCTTCCTAATGTCTCCTCCTTTGCCTCTGGAGCTGCCCCGTTGCATTCCTCTGTCCTACTCTCTTTTCTTGCCAGTGTTTTCGGTGTTTTCGTGCATTCCGGATAGCTCCCAGCTGTGATTCATCAATGTCCAACTCAGGCTCCCAGCACAACTGTGTCTCAACCTGCTCGAGTAGAGGGGCCAGGCTCCTCATCACTGTAACGCTTGGAGCTCCTCAGAGGCTTCCTTTGACTCTGATGTCACTCCAGGCCCCTCCTCCTCCGATTCCTCAGACTCAGATGCTGGGTCCACTGGCTGGCAAGGAATCACAAGACATGGTTAACAGCACTCTTATTATACACCAAGCTGGTCTTCTATAGTATCAGAGCTTGAATAATAGCTCAGTTCATCGAGCAACCAGTGACCAGGCTCAGAAGTGAATACCAAACCCTGGAAGTCTGTGGAGATTTTCAATCATCCAGATCATGGCTGTCCCAAAGGTGCTTTTGAGGAAGTAATTGGACTTTGTTGTTTTTCTTTTAAGATGTTTCACTTCTCATCCAAGAAGCTTCTTCAGCTCTGACTGGATGGTATGGAATGGAAGTATTTATATTCCTTGCAGACAGCTGATCATTTGAATTCTTTTAGAGAGCCATTGAGGTCACTTGGAGGTTTATCTGTGTCCTACAGATCTGTGTGTGAAGTATTCTTGGCTGCAGCTGAATAAATGCGTTAAAAGCTTATCAAGGCAAAATAGCTGGATTCTGTTGTTATTCATATACCGAGCCACACCTCAAATGGGCAAACATTTTTGGCCACCGCGGCAGGACAAGCGCTCATTTCTGGGAAGCCTGGGAAGAGAAGGACACTAAGCTCACTCTGGGATTTCCTGGAGGTGATTTCCTTCTTGATTCTCCCCAAGTCCTAAATTTTAGACTAAGTATTCTTGCCTCTACTAGACATGGTGAAAGTATCTTGATAGGTCTTGGCTTAAGTTAAGCATTGTTGAAATCTCCTACACAATAAGGAGCAAATCTGCATATCTGTTTTCAGCCCACATAATCAACTCAGCTAGAGTTTGTAATGCATTGTTTATTCAGGTTTTGGAGGAATATACAGTGGGAAGTCAACCCCTCAGAGAAGGAAATATTAAAAGGGCAGAAAAATGTAGTTTCTCAAAGGATCTTAAAGAGACAGAAAAGCATGCCCAGTTTTTCTTAATAGCCCTAAATCTGCCTCTCCCCAAGCAGAAACCAGCTCTGAACAAATGCAGATGTAAACCATCAGGAAAGTTGGAGCTAGGAGATTAGGAAGACAAAGACCTAAAATCTGCATACCCCACCTGAGACAGGACATGGTAGGATTAACTCACAAGGGCCAAAGGGCACACCCAAACTCAGGTCAGAATACATGACACAGGAAATAGCCTCAAAACAGAAACAGGAAATAACTCCAAACAAAAGGCTCCAGAAAGAATAAAAGCCTATTCCCTACATGTGCTAAGCCCTTTTTTTTTTTTCACTTCTCTTGCTGCCAGAACCATTTTCCAGTCTGGCTCTCCTCTCCAATAAACTACAACCTTCTTCCCAAAGCAGTTGTCATGTTTATTCCCAGCTTGGATGAACCATGATGAAGACCTTTCCTCCAACAATACATTGGAAATAGAATGAAGAAAACTCTGGTGGAGAATAAAATGGTTTACAATTGATAATTAATCTCTCTAAGTCCACATCACAGAATTTCTATAATGTGGTTACATTTTTACACCATCGGTTGTTGGTATAGAAGCAGAGACGCCCTTCCTTTCTTTTTACTGGAGGTTTCTGTAATTCTGTCTGCCCTCTGTATCTGAAATCCTGGGAAATGCCAGCTGCTATCAATTGACTCATTTAGCCAGATTTCAGTGAAGCAGAAGGCGGCTGGTTTGTAAAAATCAGAGTTGCATCTGTTTAAAAGAAGTATTTCATCCATCTTATTAGCAAAAGAGTGAAGGAAGAGCTTTTTGTTCCATTTTTCCTTAGTCCATTCAAAATCCCTGCTCGCTTACCCCTTCTTCGCTTGTTGTCTCCTTTGGTTTTTGTTTTTCCATTGTTGAGGTAGAGCTGCCACTTCCTTGATGACAATCTCCTCTGCATTTATAAAGATGGGGGGGGGGAGTATAGTCACAGAAAGCTGCCCATTAAAAAAAACATTGCTTGATGCTTAACAGTCTCTTGAACATGAAACGCAAAGCGAATCACAAAGAATAATAAAAAACCAAAAAGCTATCAGAGAACATTTTACCGAGAGGCTGCCATAAGAGGCCCATTCTTGAGGGGAAGGAGAGAGGCCGTACCATTCCTGTATGCAACCCTCCCCTCAGATTCCTGTTAATATCTTCTGTGGCATGGAAAAGAGTGTTGTCTTACCTGAACGCTTTTTCTCAGCAGGATGGTGTAGATCCACTGATTGGATGTGATTGTTTGGACGCAACGTATTATCATATTTGGTGGTCATGTAAAAGTATAAAAGCTTTTTGGATAAAGATATGGTGGAATATTCAAAAAAATTTTAAGAGAAGGGTAAAATTTACTCCACAATTGTTTTTGTTAGGTATTATTGTTCATTGTAATGATAAAGAAATTATTTTAATGTTAAATTTAATTACAGCGGCAAGGTTGTTGATAGGACAATATTGGAAGCAGGAATTTTTGCCTACCTTGGAGGAATGGTTTTTTAAAGTTTCTTATTTATCTGAAATGGCAAAAATTTCTGCTTATTTGAAAAATCAATCGCAAGAGAAATACCTTTTGGTGTGGAAAAGATGGATAAATTTTATACAGTATAAGTATGATATTAAAAGATATTATTTAGCTTTCGAATAATTTATGTTTAAAGTTTAAGACAATAAGTATTTTTTCATTATATATATATATATTGGACCTTTTTATTGTATATATATATTGGATTTTTTTTAATGTAATTTTTGTTTTAGGTTTACTTAAGTTTAAATGTTTTGTATTTTAGTTGTTAACCCTGTATTCAGCTCTGGGAAGAGGGGGGGGAGGGTTGTTGGGAGGGCTGGGAGGTAGTGGGTGAGGGATATTATTGTAAAACTGTAAAACTTTTAATAAAAAAAAAAGGAGGATGAGGTTGCCGCCCTTATGGCCCAAGCCGAAGATTGGTGAGCTCTACGAAAGGAGAACTCGAACTTTTTGTCCTCTGCCTTCAAGAATTCAGCCATGTCCCCCAGAATGGCGGTATTGGAGAACAGAGAGGTCAGCGGAGCGTCTACAGATGGAACTTCTAGAAGAGAAGCGAAAGAAGAAGAGACATTGTAAAGTTTCTTATCTAAACTGCTCTGTGAAGGAGTGGTAGCTAGGGACGCCCACTGCTTTTCCACTGTAGACCTGAAGACTAGTGGGCATGGAATCTGCGGTTCCTCCTTGACCTTTTCCGCAAACAGAGGATTGGCTTCCCGGTTGGTTGAGGAAGAAGGTGTCTCCTCCTGGGCTGAGGTAAGTTTTACCGTGTCAATGGCCCTTATGAGGAGTGACCGAAAAATAGACGGATCAAAAAGACCGGAAGAGGTCACCTGTTCAGGAGCTGGATCCTCCTCCTCAGACAAGGGAGTGTCTGCTACTCCCAGTTCCACTGATCCCTCCTCCCCTAATTGTGAGGATGTCTCCGAAACAGCAGAGCTAGGTCTAGTGTCACGCTCCACCTGAGGTGGGGGAATAGATGCGGGAGGAGTAGGATGGGACTGCACCTGGCTACTCTCAGTTGATGACATAAACTGCCTGAATGCATGGTGCATGAAGGCCTGGAATTGAGCCTGGGACCACATTTCCCTTTGGTCCCTGGAACTGGCCCCAACCTCTGTTGAGGCACACCTGGTCTCAGGTGGTTGGTGTGCTGATGAAGGAGAGGAGCGAGGAGGACCAACCTGCTCGGTTTCCCCCCCGAGGAGACCAAGGCCTTGGGGCATCCTGAGATGATTCAAATTGAGGTTCTGACAAAGGAGTATCCAGTGGGGCGGGGGAAACCATTTCAGTCCCACTGGATCTGAGTCTTTGTGCCTTGGAGAATTCTCTCTCCAATGCTAAGTGTCTCCTTGTGGCCTCTCGCTCGGCTGATTTGGAAGTATCTCCGTTGCTCAGCTGATCGTCGGAGTTGTAAAGAGGCTACAGACGGGCAGAATGGGAGCTCCCCTCTGAACAAAGTCTGCAGCCTCCCCTTTTCAAAGCCCAAAGGGCTGCAGAGGAGGAAGGGCAGAGCCCTTATCCCCCCCCCAACGCAATCTCCAAGGATTCCTAATTTGGAAGTGAAAGCCAAATTATTCTAATCGGTTGATCAAATTTGAATTTAAAGGTAACTAATTTTAATTTGAATAGTCTAAAAGAACAAAAGGAAAATTCAAGCTTAACTAGGGAGCCTTCTAAAAAGCGCCTTGTCTGAGACCGAGACTAAGAGAAAACTGGGGAAGTCACACCCAGAAGGAGGCATGGCAGTTTTTTTGTCTTAGTCTGAGCAGGTGGGATTAAATTACCCAATCAGTGGAGTCTACATCCATCCTGATGGAGAAATGAGTATTTTGTATTTTACCAGCAGAAAGCATTGTGAAAGAAATCCATTTTCTATACAAAAAAGGAAACCTATGCAGTTATTAAATTTTTCTTTCAAAGTTCTTCTCACACTGTATGGATCCTTCTATGCCAAGAAAGAGTGGAATTCCTGGCAAAGCTCTTCCCGCACTCCATGCATTGATATGCCTTCTCCCCTGTGTGGATTCTTTTGTGGGAGTTAAGAGCATAATTCCATCTAAAACCCTTTCCACATTCCACACATTTATTTGGCATCTCTCCTATGTGGACCATCTTGTGGGAATTAAGACTACTGCCATAAGTAAAGGTCTTTCCACACTCCATACAATGATATGGCTTCTCTCCTATGTGGATTCTCTTGTGGGAATTAAGATGATCGGTAGGAGTAAAGCTCTTTCCACACTCCATGTATTTATAAGGTCTTTTTCCTTTGTGATTCCTATGATGGATTGTAAGAGAATAATTATAAGAGGTCTTTCCACATTCCAGGCATTGATAGGGCTTCTAGCCAGCGTGGATCCTCTTATGGGAATTGAGGCTAGTGCTATAAGTAAAGGTCTTTCCACATTCCATACATTGATATGGCTTCTCTCCAGTGTGGATCCTCTTATGGGAATTGAGACTACTGCTACAAGTAAAGGTCTTTCCACATTTCAGACACTGATATGGCTTCTCTCCAGTGTGGATCCTCTTATGGGAATTGAGACTACTGCTACAAGTAAAGGTCTTTCCACATTCCAGGCATTGATATGGCTTCTCTCCAGTGTGGATCCTCTTATGGTAATAGAGACTACTGCTACAAGTAAAGGTCTTTCCACATTCCAGGCATTGATATGGCTTCTCTCCAGTGTGGATCCTCTTATGGGAATTTAGACTACTGCTACAAATAAAGGTCTTTCCACATTTCAGGCATTGATATGGCTTCTCTCCAGTGTGGATCCTCTTATGGTAATTGAGACTACTGCTACAAGTAAAAGTCTTTCCACATTCCAGGCACTGATATGGCTTCTCTCCAGTGTGGATCCTATTATGGGAATTGAGACTACTGCTATTAGTAAAGATCTTTCTACATTCTAGGCATTGATATGGCTTCTCTCTACTGTGGATCCTCTTATGGTACTTGAGACCACTGTGACCAGTAAAGGTCTTTCCACATTCCATACACTGATATGGCTTCTCTCCAGTGTGAATCCTCTTATGGTAATTGAGACTACTGCTACGAGTAAAGGTCTTTCCACACTCCATACACTGATATGGCTTCTTTCCAGTGTGGATCCTCTTATGAGAATTGAGACTACTGCTATCAGTAAAGGTCTTTCCACATTGAAGGCATTGATATGGCTTCTCTCTACTGTGGATCCTCTTATGGTACTTGAGACCACTGTGACCAGTAAAGGTCTTTCCACATTCCATACACTGATATGGCTTCTCTCCAGTGTGGATCCTCTTATGGTAATTGAGACTACTGCTACAAGTAAAAATCTTTCCACATTCCAGGCACTGATATGGCTTCTTTCCAATGTGGATCCTCTTATGGGAATTGAGACTACTGCTATTAGTAAAGATCTTTCTACATTCTAGGCATTGATATGGCTTCTCTCTACTGTGGATCCTCTTATGGTACTTGAGACCACTGTGACCAGTAAAGGTCTTTCCACATTCCATACACTGATATGGCTTCTCTCCAGTGTGGATCCTCTTATGGTAATTGAGACTACTGCTACGAGTAAAGGTCTTTCCACACTCCATGCATTTATATGGTTCTTTTCTCATATCAATGCTTGTATGGTTATGAAGCCAATTGACCCACGGAAAGCCTTTTTTCATTCCACCTTGTGATTGCTTCGTTTCATCACTTTTTGGCTGTATCTGATCTGGAAACTTTTCTTTTCCCTCTTTTGAATGGATCATTTGGCGTTCTTCCTTGAAATTCTTATTTTCTTGCCCATTAAAGCCTTGAAAAAGAAAAAAATGAAAACTGTAGCAAGAATAGGGGAACAATCAAACCTCTTCTTCCTGATCTAATCTTTGCCCTGGGACTATTCCATGATGCCACAAACTCCCTAAGTGCATTGGACACTGTATCATGCTGGGTTAGCAAGATATCCACCCAGTCCCAAACCTCAACGAAAGTCTCATCCTCACTTGTCTGCAGAGCAGAATCTTTCAAAGCCAAGGGGAATTTATGCTCCCCACCCTCAACTGAGGCTGTTAAACTCTGTACACAAGTGGACACATCTCTAGGAAGGGAACATCCCTCTCAGGGCTCCTCCAGTCCTGCTTATAGCAGCTCACGCCCATCGGGGAGCCAGTGACCAGGGTCAGGAGTGGATACTGAACCCCTGGTAGGCTGGACCTTTGCTCAAGAGAGGCCACACCATCCCTGCATGGAGCCTATCCCTCAGATTCTGGCTAATATTTTTTATGGCATGGAAATGAATATTTTGTATTTTATGAGCAGAAAGCATTTTTTTAAATAGAAAAAACACCACATTTCCTTTAAGTAAAAAGGAAAGCAAGGCAGTTTTTCAATTTTTCTTCCAATAAATTTCCTTCTTCCATAAAGTCAGTTTGGTCAAACGGTTAAGGTACCAGACTAGAAACTGGGTGACTGGGAGTACTAGTTCTGCCTTAGGCATGAATGCTGGCTGGGTGACTTTGGGCCAGTCTCCCTCAGCTCAACCCAGGTCACAAGGTTCTTCTTGTGGGGAAAACAGCAGGAGGAAGGAATATTGGGGTTTGTCCGCTAGCTTTATTATATACAAAAAATAAAGGCAGAATATCAGTAAATGACGTTTTTATCAGAAATCATCTACCCTCCCTCCACCTCGTGACTTCTCTATGTTTCCGAGTACAGACAGGGACTCTTACCCAGAGAAGCCAGATTCCTGGAATTCTCCAGCATGACTTCTCCATGAAGCGCTTTTTGGGCAGGGTCCAGCTGAGACCACTCCTCCTTGGAGAAATACACAGCCACCTCCTCAAAAGACACAACATGCTGAAGAAGAAAATAAGTTTCCCTATTAACAGATAATTCCAGAATAATTTGAGGTTTTTTTCCATTGATTCTATGACAGAGATCCAGTGAACAAAATGGGCATCCTCTGCAGAATTCAGAGTGAGATCTCACCACTTTTGGCTGTTGACATAACTGAAGCACATTGGATCTAGTCGGAGGTATTTGGAATGCCTTTCAGCATAGCCAACTTAAATAATTTTCTTGGTCATTGGTAGTTGGGTCTTAAATCCACTTAGTATCTATGGAGATTCTCAATCCCCACAGTTGTCCCAAAATGCTTTTCAAAAGGCAAAATAAGAATTTTTTTGTAATGGTATGTACGAATGACCCTGGGAGACAGAAGGAACAGCCCCAATGCTCACAACTGTCTGCTCAATGAAATCTGATCTCAAAGCAGGAGGAGAAAGCATCTCAGAAATGTTCAATGACCTGATGTCAAATTTGTATTGCTTAGAAACAATTTTATACATTGAATGTTAGAACAAAATGAAATCCATCCAAGATTCATGGACCTTTTCCGATGTTTCTCCTCCCTACCTGAAGTAGAGGTTCAGTCAATCCTTCAGCTCCGCCACAAAGAGGAGGTGACTCTACAAATTCCATGGACAGCTTTCTACTCTCTGTGAGACAGAAAAATGGGGGAAGCAGATTTGTTAAAGAGAGAGATTGTAATGATGTGCAGCTAAAGAATCAGCTAAATGTTGAAATCTCACATCACACAGAAAGACCTTCTGGTACCTGGCGTGATGTCCTGACTTTGACCTTTCTGGAAGTTATCCTCAAATAGCAGCTCTTGAGAGGGTTTGGATGAATCTTTCCCCCCCTTGGGATACTCAGTCGTAGCTTCCAAGGATTTCTGGAGATGATGTGATAGGAGAAACAAAGGAAGAGCACAGAGATAGAAATGAATTATCATACTGTGCCTTCAAACTAATAGACACCAATGTCCATTGTTGAAACCAGAAACAGAATGGAAGAATAGAACAACTTGCTTTAGGAGTTAATAATCCAGAAAACTGGAAGGAATTGAAAAATTCAGAGAGATCCTCTTTAGACCGGTTAAGACTATATTCTCACACCTGCAACTCTTCTTGCATCTTTTCCACATCCACGTTCAGCAAGAAGCCTTCGGCCAGGGCCACCGCCTGGGAACTGGTCTCTGCTCCACACTCCCGCACCCATTTCTCCATCTCTGGGGGAAGGAAAGCCAGGAACTGCTCCAGGAGCACCAGGTCCAGCATCTGGGCCTTTGTGTGTCTTTCTGGCTGCAGCCACTGACAGCAAAGGCGGTGAAGCTGACTGCAAATATCTCGGGGACCCCTCCCCTCCTGGAACTGCACTTTTCTGAAGTGAAAGCCTTTGACTTCTGATCTGTTGGCTTCGTCTTCTTGGTTCTTCTGCCCATTCATCTCAAAGCTCCAAGACTGAGCAGCTACAGGGCTTTTTCCAGCTGGGCATTGTCCCTCCATCTTCTCTCTGCTCTCTAATCCAGCTCCAAAACAGACTGATGGATCTGCACAGGTCTTCCTAATCAGAAGAGGTCTGTCAAAATCTGCTAAAGTCAATTAGGATTAGCCTTCTTCCCACACAAGATATTTAAGACTCAAGAGCAATCAGGAAAGATTTCCAACTTATATATCTGAAATGGAAAAGAAAATTCCAGAAATACAGGTTGACCAACTCAACAACTGAGCACACACAAAAACTGAAATAAGAAATTCTTATCAACCCAGCAATATCTGGGAAGATGGGGAAAATCTTTGAAAGTAGTGATATATCTCTGTGTGGAAAAAAATCTGTAACAACCTTGTAGATCAACTTCTTGAAGGACTAAACAATCTGGATACATAAATTTAAAATGTTTTTGATTTCTTATTCCTACTGATTTATTCTAATAATTTTGACGGCTGCTTGCAGCATGAAAACCAACCTCTGTACAATCCAGATCATAAATGTCTCAGGTCACAAATAGTCATTGAGATGAGTGGCTTTTTAAATCGCTTTAATAGGTAAATCAATCAATATTTGAACTTCCAGTGTAACTTTAGCCAGCAGAACCTCATTAAACTCCTGGCCCAAACTGTGATGGCTACCTGAGAAATGACAATCAACAAACTACCATTCAATACAAACAGAATAATACCCGAATCAATAAACCAGCGTAACATGATGTTTTCATTCACGCATCTCCTGGAAACAGGTTCCCCACTTTTAGTCTAATCCTGAATGGCTCCGACCTTTCTGGCGATCCTGATGTTCTTCCTGGAGGCAACGCAGCGCATCCGGAGCTTTGATTCCTTCTCTGCCTGGCCCGTGCATGCACAAGGGCGGCAGGGGAACATGGGACCCCGGGCTCCCCCCTTCCCACGACTCCGAACCTGATGAAGTTTTGGTTGTCTCCATGCACGGTCCAGCCCGTGAAAGAAACGTCCCCCCACTTACTGAACTCCGGAGTCAGGTTTTGATCTCCGTCCGTGCAAAGCTCCCTTGCAGCCTCTGTGACTCCTCGGAAGAGCAGAATTGCACCGGTGGGAAGGATGGAAGCACTATCAGCCTCTTCTGGACAATGCACCGAGCATGTCTCTCGACCTGATGGAAGAGCGCATGCTCAGTTCTCTCTTGAAGCGGGGGCTGGTGAGGGCTTTGTAACGGCAACCCAGGGAGCCCCCTGGTGGATCCTGCATGCAACGCTAGATCGACGCTGCAAGGCAATAGGGGAGATCATCACGTTCCATGGGGGCCTGGGATGATGGGCATTGGAATAGAAGGAAAGGGTCCCTCTAACATTCCCTGTCTTCAGCAGGCAACATTTTCTAGACTTTCCTTTTTTAACGTCTAAGAACAATCTGCGATCTTGTGAATATTGAGACAATCTCTGTGGAGGCTCAAAAGGAACAGGAGCCTCTCTTTGAAGCCCAGGTTGTGTGATGTGGTTGTTGGCAAACACAAGCCTGAAGTGAGGGAAGATAAAGGGGAGTGGCAGAATCAAAGGATGGGAAGTGAAGGGGTAGGAAAATTAAGATGTGTATTGATTGTTTTATTTAGTGAGTTCAATCATTACAGCCGCCTTTTCAAATTCATGCCCCTGGGCAGCCAACTGTGGTTCAAAACAGCAAGTGGCAGCAGCAAAAATGAGAATAATCCTGAAGAAACAGCATCAAAAGTAAACAACTTTCAAAATGGAGAGAAAGCTCAAACCATGGAAGTTTTAGAAATTTTACCTCAAAACAAGGGTCCATGATGGAGAAATGAATGGTGTCTCATAGGTGACTGGAGAAAAGGTGGAATTACAAAATGCAGGAAGGCAAACCTTGAGGAGTACATATAAAGTTCAAATGCCATGAGGGGAGAAAGGAAAATGGCTTCATTTTGGTATTCAAAATGACAGTGCAAGAACAACAAATAGTTTTATCCAAATTAATGAAATAAAGAAATGGGGAAATAAAGTTAAGAAGCGATTTAAAAAGAATACAAATAGCATCTCTCTCTTGCCAATAGCCTGGCCCTTTTCAGCAAATTTTTCTCAGCTTTTAATACGCTTGAATTTTAAAAAAGTCTTATGAATAACCATACCGTTAATATTTAATTTTATTTAGATCCAAACTTAATTTTACTCAAATGTAATGAGAATCCCATTAACTTTAAATACGTCCAATTTATTTAAATTGAATATAGACATTTCCTTATTCTTATCGTATCATAGAAAGGCAAAATCATAATAGCATTTAAACTTATATCCCGCTTGATAGTGCGTTACTGTACTCTAAGCCTGAAGCTGGAGTTGATGCCCTTTCCATGAAGAAGCTGGAGAGATAAGAACCAACTCATCCTTCCCTGGTGGTCTAATGGTCAGGATTCAGTGCTTTCATCGCTGCGGCCCGGGTTTGATTTCCGGCCAGGGAAAGCTTTTTGTTCCAAAACCATCCAATATCCTGCAGGTGGAATTTTCAGGTAAGGCTCATTTTCATGGCAACATAGGCTGAATTGGTCAGAAAATTGCCCCGCCTTTCCTTCCCTTCCTTTCTCTTCCCCCCCCCCAACTCACCCCACCCTCTGGTCCTCCTAGCACAGAGATGGCGAACCTTTTAGAGACTGAGTGCCCAAAAACTGGCCCCACCCCTGCTCCATGCCCTGCTCCATGCCCTCAGGGACACTCACCACCTCTAGGGCCTGCCACAGATGGCCCAGGCAGACCAGCAGCACTATGGCAGTCACGCCCTCTGCCCGCGCCCTGCAGCATCAACTGTGCATGATGGGGTATGAGGGCAGAGTCTTGTCTACACTGCCTGGGTGCCATGTCCTTGGCTGTGCTGCTCCGCGTGGGCCACGCTCAGGGGTGACTCCTTCAGGGGGGCTGCTGGAGAGGAGAGGGTCGCAGGGGAGGCGAGGCCGGAGCAACGGCACATGTGCCCACAGAGAGGGCTCTGAGTGCCACCTCTGGCACCTGGGCCATAGGTTCGCCACCACTGTCCTAGCAGGTTTGACAGAGTCTCCATCCAACCAGCCTGCCTTGGAGCTTCCAAGAAGGCAGATGATGACCACAGGAATTGCAAGATACTTGGAGGGCGCAAAGCTGCCTATGATGCACTAAGCAGGGGGGGACAGGTAGGTGTCAGCCCTTCAAGTAGACTACAGTGGAACTGTAGGCCACGTCTCTGGAGCACAAGGGGTCAAGGGGTCCGGCCACTGAACAGCTTCAGGTGGCCTTCCCTTTGCGATGGTATTATCCATTCAGTCAAGTTGGACTCTGGGTGACTCTTGCACCGGGTCTCTCCACATATTCCAATCGTGCACATCTTTGAGTTTTTCTCAGCTGTGGGTGGTGTCAGCTTTGATGGTATCCAGCCACCGTATTCTTCAACAGTTTGGTTTCCTTTTGCCACTAACTCTTCCAAATGTAACTGCTTTTTCCAGTGAATACTCCTGCATGACCTACCCAGAAAGTAAGCCCTAGCTTGAGTTTCACGGATGGGCTTAATATAAGCCCCACCCCATAAATAAGCCTGGGGGTGAGGTGGGGTGGACGTGGCCAGCAGAAGTGGCGGCGAGCACATGGGGGCTGCTGGTGTCTGGCAGCAGTCGCAGCCCACCGGCCCCTTGGTGCAGCACAGGTAAATCCAGCGCAGAGGCAGGGGGGAAGCAGGCGATTCAGATACGCTGCACACTTTTTGAAGAAATGACAGGGACTGGAAACTTCATCTGCTTGAGTATGGGGCAGTTGGAAATGGAGGGATCTGCTCCATTTCCAACCAGCCCATTTTCAAGCAGACGACGGTTCCAGTTCCTGTCAACAGCAGTAGCAGAATCCCCATCCCCGGGACGGAGCAGTCTGCTACCAATGCTGTTTCCCCCTCTGAGCAATGAGGCTCCTTTAAGCCAGTGGCAAAGGTGGAGTTTGGGATGAGCAGCGGGGCGTAGCCCAGGCACGGCCCAGCAGCAGCAAAGCAACAACAGAATCCCTCCCCCCCCAGGGATGGCCTCGCTGGTACCAGCTGCATGCTACCGGTATTTACCGGTAACGCCAAGTACCCAGACCGAGCCGCGGAGCTGGAGAGTTTGCTCCATCACCACCTAGATGCCCTCACTTCCCCCAGGAATTCCTTTGCTTACCTGATTTTTCCAGTCCCACCACGTTCCTTCACCGGTGTGTGCCGTGGTGGTGGTGGTGGGAGGAAGTTCAATCAATCATTTCCAACTTCTCGCGAAAAAAAAAAGATCTTGCAAAGTTGGAAACGATTGATTGAACTTTTGTTTCCCTGCATGCGGCGGAGGAGGAGCCTGAAGGAGAAATGGGATGGGGGCTGGAAGTCAGGTAGGCAAAGGCATGCAATTCTTGGGAGAAGCGAGGGCATCATGGGGGCTGTGGTGTGGCAAGCTTTCTAGCTCCATGGCGGCAGAGAACGGTGTTGTGATTCCGTGCCAGCCTGTATTCCCAACAGCTGAGTCCGAGGAATCTGAGGAGAAGGAGGTGGAGGGAGGCTCTGATGAGTTTCAAGACTGACATGCCAGTGAGGAGCCTGGCCCCTCCAATCGTGTTCAGGATGAGATGCAGCTGTGTCGGGAGGATGAGTCAGACTCGGAGCATGCACAGCTGTCGGAAATGAGAGACGCCTGCAAACGAAGACTAGCTAGGAGAGTAAATCAAAAGAGGCAATGGGACGACTCTGGAGAAGGCACTGAGAAGCCATGCCTTGAGGACTGACTTACAAAAGGGGAATGTGTGGGCGGTGCTGGTTGCTGAAGGCAACCGTTGCAAAGTACTTCATGGGATCATGTTCTGTTAGTATTGCCGATGACTACTTCTCTGTTTTGCATTGCGTTTCGTGTGGACAGTTTCCTCCATTTGGATTGTGTTTTGCTGCTTTTGTTTCTGGACTATTTGGCAGGTTTGTTACCCATATAAAAAGGGGTTTGTTTTCTTCTGAGTCTCCAGCCTATTTTCTCAAAAGGGGTTTTGTCCTTGTGCCTTTAATAAGGACGGCCATAGGCTGGGACAGAACAAACGGTGACAGAGCAGCAAAGCAGGTGGCAAGATGCTGAAGCGGGCCCGTCTCTGTCCTGCAGCTGCCTAGGTCTGCCAGAGGGAAGGCTGACATCTACCAGCACTTACAATAAATGCGGCGGCATTCTGGCTGTGGTGGGGAAGGGGCAGCCGGCATGGGTGCTGACGGCAGGATGCCCGTTCACTTCAGCACCCGAGCCTCCGGCACCCCACCTACTGCTTTGGTTCTATGCTGCCTCTCAGGTGGGCTCGACCAGGCCAGGATGGCGACCTCCCCAGATACCCGGGGCAAAGGCCCCCTGCTCTGGCCCGAGTAGCATCACCCTGGCTGCTCCCCCCTTCCCGTTTCTGCCCAGCACGGCCACCCCAGGGCTGCAGGGGCTGGCTTGGCATGGGAAGGGCATGCGCCCCACCCACCTGCACCGGTACTTGGTCCACAACCATGCTCTCGCCGATGCATGGCGTCACCACCATGCACAGACACAGGCCCTGCCCCATCTCCGCCGCTCGTGGCCTGCTGGTACCAGTAAAAGTAAGCCCTCCCTGAAAGTAAGACCCAGTTAATAAATGAGTTATTAGAATAAGAAATAGAATATATTTGGGAAATGTAAGAATGTAACTATTGGAATAATATGTTTATTTTAGACATAACTATTATGTTATGAAACAAGGGAATTTAGAGATACCCGAAGTGTAAATAATATGTTTATTTAAGGCTAAATTGGATTATGGTAATTGTAAGTTAGTAAAGCTTAAAAACAGGATTTATATAGGTGAAATGTTATTGATAATTTTTTGGGATTGACTGAACTTTATTTAGAAACGTATTAATTTGAATATGTTATATTGCTTGAGGGAAATAGAGAGGGAAGCTTTAAAGGATTAACCTGAGCCATATATGTACGATTTTGTTTTTGGATGATTGATTATCCCATCACCACATTTCTCAGACACCTTGATGTAAAAACTAAAAAAACTAATAAAACTTATTCAAAAAAAAAAAGAAAAGAAAGTATGCCCTAGGGCAGGGGTAGGCAACCTCGGCTCTTTTATGACTCACGGACTTCAACTCCCAGAATTCCTGAGTCAGCATGGCTGACTCAGCATGGCTGACTCAGGAATTCTGGGAGTTGAAGTCCGTGAGTCATAAAAGAGCCGAGGTTGCCTACCCCTGCCCTAGTGCTTATTTCAGAGCCCAAAAGAAACTAAGACCGGGTCTTATTTTTGGGGAAACACGGTATGTGCTCCAGCCTTCCCTTTGTAAGGTGGCTGAGTGGGAAAAGTGCTGGCGTGCTCATGCCCTGTGCTCTGCATGCCTGGATTTGACTCCCACCCCCATGGGCAAGAATGGGGAACTCAGGAACTTATTTCTACCTTTTAATTCCTGCTGACAATGCAAGGTGAGATCAGCGTCCACCACCAAAAGGGTGGCTCTTTTTCTCCCATTGAGAACAGAATCCAGGATGAAAACTTCATCTGCTGATGCTGCCCGTATATCCTAGAAGGGCAAAAGGTGGAAGGAGGCATGCGCCAGCCGGGACTCGAACCCGGGTCACAAGATTGGGAACCCTGCATGATGCCCCTATACCACTGGCACAGCTGTTGAGATCCTGTCTCGAGAGAAGCAATAGTTATAGCCGGGCTTTCTCCTTTCCCATCTGATGGCGGGAGAAAGGAGCACACTGTGCCTTGTGACAGAGAGATCTTATTGCTGTCTACCAGCCCCAGCCACGGATGCTCGGGGGGGGGGGGAACAGAGGGGGAGGCCTATGCCAGGTCTCTGTGGCGCAAGGGGTTAGCGCGTCTGGCTGTTAACCAGAAGGATGGTGGTTCGAGCCCACCCAGGGACGGCCTGCTTGATGAGTTGAATGATAGATGAAGGTGATGGATTGTTTATCTATTGGGTTCTTCACCTTGGGGCTCCCGTTCCCAATCTGTCAATATTTTTTTCTGCCAGACTTAAACATTTAGCCCTCTGTCGTCTGGAGGGCACAAATCTCTAAGGTATGTTTCATCCTTTAACTCAGGGGGGAGAGTCAAACTCAATTTCATTGAGGGCTGCATCAGCATTGCAGTTGCCCTGGGGGGGGGCGGGGAGGAGGCCTACTGGGTGGGCGTGGATGGAGTGGGTGTGGCCTACTGGGTGGGCATGGCCAGCTCTACATCATTCGCGTCAAGGGTGCTTGTGGGGGCCTGAGCAGGAGTGGGACAGATCTGAGGGTCTCTGGCAGAAGGGGGTGGGACCAGGGCAAGCACCAAGGCAAGGTGCATTTCTTCATTCCCCACAAAGGGTGACACCTCCCCAGCTTGCACCCAGGGGCGGGGCTGACACAGCAGGGGCTGGTTCCTCACTGTTTCCAGACGGCCTTGTGGAGCTAAGACTGAATGTGTTTCAGCATAG